ATTCCTGTCACGTCACGCATTCCATTCAGAAGCAGAAGAATAAAGGAGGAGGAGGAGAAGGAGGAAAAGGAAGACACCAGAGAAATGCAATGACTTTTCACCTGGAAACCCTGCACACAGGGATCTCATTGAAGCCAACGGGGGAGAGGAAGGGAGAGAAGGGAAGGGAGAAAGGATGTGTGAAAACATTGGTATGTGTCATGGTCTGTCTACCTGTGGTGGCTAGAGATGCAGCATCAGTCGTGTGGCTGCCGGGCTGTCCGTGGGCTTGCGTGAATTCCAAACCCAGTACCGCATAGATGACGAGTCCACGTAGCAGGACATTGAGCAGCTGGTGCTGGAAACTCATGGTAAAAATCTAAAACCGTGGTGTCCGTGGGAGGAAGTGGTGTTGATCTGGTCTGGCACAGGCAAAAATATTAAAAAATAAAATAAAATCACAACGAAATGAAGGCTGAATAAAGGGGATTTCCGAGTCTTATGATTAAAAAATCAGTGATGTACTGCAGCAACAGAAGAAGAAGAAGAAGGAGAGAAAATCCCGCAGTCAGACTTGTTTGCAAACGCGCCGGCGGCTAACAGCTGGAGCTCAGGCGTGTGACACAGAACCTGACAGGAGCGTGGAAAATCCCAACAAAATCAGGCTTCATTGTGGCTCAAAGTACTTTTAGATGAGACATACTTCTAAAAAATCCATTCAAATCAGAATAAAAGGCGAAGGAGAAGGAGGGCAGCTGCGGGTTTAAATGCGTGGCGGCTAAAGCCCCATCTGAAGGAATCCCCTCCAAACACGGCTAGTTGAAAAATGGAGCTGCGGCACGAAATGTGGTGCAAAAATTCCAATTTCTCTTTAAAAATCCTTCTTATAAAACATTAAACCGGTCGTGTGGCTGAGAGATGGAAGGAAATAGTGTGTGTACTTCCACGTACAGTATACAAACACCGCGCAGTGAAAGAAACTCGTCTCCAGCAGAAGATCCGCCTCTTCATGACAAAGTCGTCTCAAACGTGTCCATTCCGCCTCTGCCCCCGGTTTTTACCCCCCTGGGTTGAAACGGTCAACGATGACGCGGGGTCGGTTTAAAAGTGTGTTTTCTTTAAAACAGACCCTGGTGCCGCTGCTTCCGAGCTCCCCCTGTCATTTCAGATGCTCCGCCGGCTGATGCTGCTCACCAGCGGCGGGAGGGAAGCCGAGCGAGAGCAAACCGGAAGACACTGCCGACGTCACAAAAGAGGAGGGGGGCAGGGGGACGAGAGAAAGGAACAGCCTTCTTTATGACATTATTTCATAGCAAGTCATAAAGATATTTGTTTTTTAATCAAACTTCCGATGATATTTTGATTTGTTTTCTCTTTGTAAACATTTATACATTGTTTTGTATTTCACACGAATGTACATGCATCTGTTTTTCCTTACGTACATTACTTCTAGGGTTTCTAATACAAAAAAACCAACGTTTAAAAAGCTAGTAATAAGCCAAACTTTAGCTTGCCCTTCTGTTATGTTGGCTTCATTTCACTTTGCTTATATGCCGCTATTTTAAGTGTAGCTGTATCTGTTTGGTGAATTTTGCTAAATTTGTCTGCTGTTTATTCTGGTTTTGTTCACCTTTTTTTTCCTCGTGAACTTAAAGCCATTGTTTTAATCAAAGTATCACGCAAATGATAGCTATGACGTTATGTGTTAAAACATATGCAAAACAGACAGTGTTTATTACCTTTACCTCAAATACTAGTCATGTTTTGTAAAAACTCATGAACTGTGCCATAGACTAAGTGTCACTGTTTTATAAATGCCTTGCTGCATATTTTAAGCAAAACAAAAAAATATGTTGTGTCATTTCACGAGAGCAGTGTTTACCCAAGTTTTTGAAGCAGTTTTCTGTTAACACAGATCAGGACAAGTAGATGTGATATAAACGTTAGTATCATGTAAATACATTTACATGATACTAAATAAATTTGAAATTATAACCTTTTAATTTGACAAAAAAAAACCCAACAAAACACTTAACAACCTGGTTAAGTGTCCTGTTGTCTCAATAATAATAAAAAAATCTCTGAAGTGAAAAGCAGTGTTGGCTTGAAAACAAATCACCATTCAATCAATCAATCAGTGTATCTCATTAGCCAGCAGGAGGCACTGCTGTGTGAGCAGAATAAGCAGCAGGTACCGTTTTGCCTCAGGGTACGGTGAGGGCTGATAAAGGGGGTCCAGTTCTGGTGAACAGGTGGCGGATGAACGAGGAACCAAGAGATGGGAGTGGGGGAGTGAGGGGAGGCGTGCTGAAAGACAGGAGCAGCAGAATTCGATACATGGAGCCTGCAGAGGGGGCGGCGGTGAGGATGGAGGCCAACCAACGTGGGAGGAAGAACACATGCTACACGTGTAGGAGGAGGGTGGCTGAGGAAGGAGGGAAGATCTGAAATGCTGCCACCTGATATTTACCAACTCTAGTGTTTTAACATACAACACAACACAACACAACAAACGCAAGTGACAGCAGTTGCTCAGCTACAGGTGATGGGTGTGAGCCTCTCCTGCTCTGCAGAAAAGTCCAGAAGCACAACCATGGTGGGACTGTGATTGACTCAGTGAATCAAAATCATGTTGTACATTATCAGGTCTGAGCAAAATGCTTTATTACACTTTCATGAATGTGTAATGTTTAAAGTTGTATTAATCATTAAATCATGTCATTTTTTACACAGTGGCTGAAGAATAGTGTACATTTAAATTTAATTACCGTATGAATTCAGTAGCTTCACAGGTCAATACACTCAGACATTCCTTTCAACATGTTTGGTCACAATATGACGATAAATGAAATACTGGCTCACGTGGCTGAACACGTTAATATTATTAACTTCATAAATATAAGGCATGTGCATCAATGGTTTTAACCAACATTACATTTGAAGAGTCTAATACATTGGTCATCTTCAAAAAAAAAAAAAAAAAACCGCATTGGTCATCTTCAAAAAAACAAAAAAAAAAACCTTAAATCAATTCTTCAGGACTAGTTCATATTCATTAGGAGCTTCTGTAACAGTTTGGGGCTGCATTTCTACCCATGATTTTGGGCGACTATAGAAAACGTGGGCAAAGCAGACGGAATGTTCCGCGTCTCCTGGTTCATTAGTGACAGAAATGATCAGAATTACTGCAGAATTGATTGTAGGATTTGATTAACACTTCATTAGCCCAACTTGAAAACATTAGCTGTGGTTTTCTCTCCTAACGTCATTACTACTTCACACGTCGGGCCTCCTAATGAGTCTGCTGTCTCCCAGCAGGCACTGCTGCACATATCAGCTTTACTGCACAGCATATGGCATGTGGTGTTGGCTTACAAACAGTGTAGTATTTCACAAGACAATATTCTATTAAGGTTACACATATGAGGAAGACAAGGTTCAAAAGAAAAATCTGCACATTCTCAACATGCAGTTATAAGTTGAAGATTTAGTCCAAAATAAACCAAGGTGTTTCCACCTGTCCTTAAACAGACAAGATTGACATGTTCCTCAGAGAGAAAGGACATTTGGACTTTGTTTATGTGCGTACATCTAGAGTTTGTAGTGACAGCTGTTTCTACCCTGCCTCATCCAGGTTGATCAAATATCTTTGAGGTTTCCTATATTCAGACCAGACTTTCACACTGACATTTTCACACATTAAGACCCTGTCTTTCTGTGAAAGGTCACCTGATGTCACTGTGTCTTTCATCAGTAAGGTCACCCCAGCCTCCTCTTCCAGGAAGATAATAATAATATCCCCTCTCCCTGGTACTGTTTGTGTTGGATTATCTCTTCATCTACAGTGGATGCTAATGCTTTTCTGCTGTGATTACTGTGGCTCTGTCCCAGACCATGATGCAATTTGTCTTCAGCAGTGGTGGGTTTGTCCGATTCAAAGTTATGTCCTGCTTTAATGTCCCACATGTGTTGTCTTGAGACAAACATCAAAATATAAACAACACTTGTGCATTTGAATATAGGAAATCTTAATTATATATTTGATCGGTATCAAAGACAAGGTGAGAGCAGGAGAACCTGGCCTATCGATGTGGTTTCACTAGTCTTCATCATGATATTGATCTTCAGAGATGTTAAGACACACCTGACCCTGTCTCATCCCTGTCAAATTAAGTGTCCCACCATAACTGCCCTATTAGAACGTCAAGAAACACAGCGGTCCTTATGGTAGACCAGAGGTCACCAACCTTTTTGAAATTGAGAGCTATTTCAAGGTCACAATAGTAGACATTCTTCTTATCATCGTCATTGGACCCATTTGAAGATAATTGCAGGTGGAACTGATTCAAAAAGCACAGTAACAGTACAATTTTTCACCCTCTTGTTGACTAGTTTTATTTTTTGGAACATATCCCGCAGGCACCTCAGGTAGTCCACCAGGGTTACCAGGTGACCCCGGGCACCACGTTGGTGACCCCTGTGGTAGCAGTTGGACATGACCTGTTTATCCAAGTCCAACTGTCTGTCATTTAGGTTTAGTTTCACTAAGACCAGGAGAAGTTTATTGAGAAGGACAAATAAAAAAATCAGACAAAATGCAGTGATATCAGACGACAACCAACTCTGTCCACCACTCATTATTTTTCCTGCCCCCCTTCCCTCTTCCTCCCACCCACTTTCACACACACACTATTCCAATGTCTCTTGATATATGGGGGTCACATGCTGGACACGTTGTTATGGCTGAAGTATAATACATGCCATCTGTATACTGTGTAGTGTTCATACTGTACCAGTACTGTAATACTGTAGGCAGACTGTACTTCACATGGAGGTGGCAAACAAGAAGATCTGGATGAGAGGCATGACCTTCAGTGTTGAAAGGTCAGCAAGGACGGCCTGCAGTTTAAAACATAATTAAATAATTAAACACATATTGTTTCTTCTACACAATGTAACCACTGTCAACATGTCAGCTAACCAGCCAACCAGTGTCAATAAACGTTCTAATTGGACTCCTAAACACAGCATAAGTTCTGACGTTTTGCTCAACCTGACCCGTTTATTGAAGAATTGTTGACATGCATATTGGTGATGCAGGACAGTCTTTGCTGGAATGGTGGACACCCAGCCTCCCTGTCCCTTCAAGATGGTTGGGAGATTAAATTTAGGGAGCTGGTTCAGAGAAGTGGTCTAACGTTTCAACGCTGGGCCTGAGATTCTAAATATAAGATGAGGAGCAGTGTGTTATGATAGCTTCACTTTTTTGGGGGCAGGCGGTAAATGAGCAAGCAGCAGAACGGCCCGCTACCCCGCACGTCACTCTGTGGTTTAACCCCTTCACCCTCGGTGGGTGAGTGAGGTGGGGGAGACGAGTCATGGTATGGATTACTGTGGTCATATGACAGTGCTACGGTGCAGAGCTCAGAAGAATTACAGGCCTGGTTACTGTAACAGAAGTGCAGTTTGTTAAAGACTCTCGACTTCTGCTGCAGCTGATCAGTGATCACGCATGTCTGACAGTCAACCACTAGGAGACAGACATGCGCCTAAAATGAGAGGTGCTAGGAAAACAGGAGTCGGGAAGTGGTGTGGACTTGTACTCAGATTCGAGGACAGACGGGCTTAGTTTTCTCAGACGTGTGCGCAGCAGGAGACGGGGGTCAATGCTCATCGGTGGCTATTTACAGCCTCATACACGGGGAATTTGTCAGGGACGGCGGGTGAGGGCTACATTTCAGGTTTCAGAAGTCAGGTGTGAAAATGACCGTACCTCAGCCGAGGCCAGTGATGTCACTTCCATCAGGTTCTCAGCACGGAAGGCAAACACAGCAGCTGCTAAAACTGGAGGAGGGATGAGTGAGGGTTTGGAGGAGGGGAGAAGGGGGTGCAGAGAGAGGACAGAGGGAGGATCATCAGACAGAGGAGGGTGAGATGTAAGGAAGCAGGACAGATGACAAGTGGATGAGGGAAAAAAAAGACTGATTGAAGCAGAGACTTCAACTCTCAGCTATAAACACACTGACCTAGTGACATTTCATTGCGCGGCAGCTACTAGGGAAACACCGCTCTCTAGTGGTTTAAAATGAAATGGTGACTTGATATGACTAGTTTACCTAATAAACAATAATCCAATCAGAGGGAGTGAAGGGCACAATATTAGCCATATGCTAACAAGTCCAAGATTAGTACCATTTCATTAGGATGTACACTTGTCCTGACTCAAACTGCAGTTTAAAACGAACAGGAAAAGAAAAAAAATCCAACCTGCAACAATCTCCAGGGAGTCGTATAAAAAAAAATTCTACCTGCAACAATCTCCAGGGAGTCGTATCCAAGGATTCGATCCCAGAGGAGCAGCAGCTGATCAGTGGACAGATAGCCAGAAAAGGCTCGGACCAACCACTTAAAGGCCATACGCAACCTTTGGGGAAAAACAATGCTAATCATCACATCATCAACGGCTCACTTGTAACTTCACTTACAAGCACTTGTGACCACAAAGTACTTTACTGTTACTAATATAAATTACAAAACAAGACACAAAAATACACAAACATACAACGTGTACAGGAAAAAAAGCCTGAGATCAAACAAAACTAGCAGTTTAAGACAATCATTACATGCATAAATACAATCTTTACCAGCAGCTGATGTTTAGGTCAGTTTGAGTGATTCTAGTAAAGCAACAGAAGGTGGCAGTATTCATAACAACACAACTGAAATGACACCATTTCTGTAAACATTGTACACTTATGTGGACGTTTAATTTGCAAAAAATACATTTTACTGGCGCTTCTCACTATGGTGTATGTAGATGCTCTCCCTGGCCCGTAGGTGGTGCTAAGTGCACATTTAAAAGTTATTTTCTGCACTTCACATATCCTGGTTCATTGTTGTATAAAACATCTAATCATGTACTGTAATCTGGGTGAACTCCTTTTTATTAACCTGATTACAAATTGTATAATATTAGCATACAGCTTGTCAACTGTGTGCTAACATCTAATGTCTCTGCTGTGTTTCCTGCAGTGCATTAGCATGTGTAAGTTAGGAGTGTGCTAGTACGCAGCATATTGGCATGTTAGTGGTGCTCTAGCCAGTAGTGTGTTAGCTACAGATTAACTGCTGCTTTGGAACATAGCATTTAGAGTCTGTCTTTACTAAGAACCAGTTAACAGCTTCAGCCTCACTTATTCTTTCGGCTTTACCAGCAGATCTGACTCTTGTCGTTACTGCCACCTACTGGATTTCTTTTACACTGGTAAAACTGTCAAGGAAAAAAAAGATATGAAAATAAGAGAGATTAATTTAAATGTTGATTCTACTACAGGGTCATTCTGCTGCTACAACAACATCACATCAAAATAATATTATGGTGTGTTAGTGCTCCAGACTGGGGGAGATGTATGAATAGTGTTGAAGTCATTAGGCTGAATAACAGAGGCTGTATCAATGGACAGCAGTAGTATGTGGATCTTTTACTCACGGCTGTGCACCGATCTGTCTCAGGTGGTAGAAGAGCTGAGGAAGATGAGCCTGGATCAGACGCTCAAACTGCAGGCACAGAGAGACGATACCCTGCAGGAGAACACGTGAGAACCCTCTTTACTCAGCTGCTAAAATGTCGATACGATACAGAGAAAATAGAGATGAATCTCAGTCACTCACCGAGGGAGAGGAGGAGATGGAGTGCAGTCTGAAGAAGTAACGCACATACATTTCTCTGAAAACACTGTACAGTTTGGAGGGCTCGTTGTACAGGTAACACAGAGGTGCCACTGCCACACATACACACACAGAACACATGGCAAATCAAAGAGCTCTGAACTTCCTGCGTTCAGCACTGCAGTACATTCGTGCATTTACTCACCGTACATTGAAAACCCATGGAACGGGATGACCCCTGTTGAGCAGAGACATTCAGGCTCAAAATGAGTTCTTTCTCATTAACTGAAGCACAAATCACTTGTTTGTGTTGGCTAACTTTTAGCTACAAATGTGTAGCCATAGCAATCGTCTTGGTGATGGCTGGTGAGTTCTGCCAACATCATTATCTTTGGAGATCTTTAATAGTCACTTTCAATCACTATTTAAACTACAGATGCTGGGTATCTACTAAACTCAGTCTTTAGTTTTAGTTTTAACTCCTAGATGATCTATTAGCAAACTTTTCATATTATTTCCAAAATAGAAGGAAGGAAGAAGGAACAGTAGAAGACAAAGACAAAGAAGGCTAAGGACATTGAAACAGCACAGAAGAAAATAATCAAAGATACAAAAATGAAAAAATCTGTAAAATCAAACTTTTACAACTGGATTTTTTTTTTTAAATTTCATATCAACCTCATTTCAAAACTTGTTTTAAGTACAGCCTCACCGTTAGGAGGATAAACCACAGCAAAGTCTTCATCTCCTGCTTTTCCTGTGAAACAAAAAAAACCAGAATGGATACGAGTGTGTGTGTGTGTGTGTGTGTGTGTGTGTTATGCCCTTGGTGAAGGGCTCATCATATCATCTCACCTTGGATGTAGGCTTTAGGAGGGGTGGCGCTGTTGTACTTGAAGTGCTCCAACACAAGCGTGTCCCTGGAGAAACACAGTAAGACCTGGAACAGAACACATCAGAGACTAATTGATATATATACACACACACACACACACACCACTGCTAAACTAACTCATATATATCTCAGCTAACCGTTGGTCTAATCAGCACGGCTTTTAATATTTTAAAGCCAATTCTTGGCAATAGTATTTAGCTGTTTTCCTTAACAAATAACCTTTTTTGTCTTAATTCATGTTGTTGCCTAAACCTGTGTTTTGGCAAAAAAGTGTTGTCACTTTTACGCTGACAACACTCTCGTTTCTCATGGTTTTGCAGACGCTGCATGTTAACAACCATCTCAGCAGGTGACACCAACACTTCCTGATGAAAGAGAGGACTGCTTAATAGAACTGGGTTCCTCTGGGAGACACTGACCTTCAGGAGAAGCTCAGCTCCTTCCTGGATAAGAATTCCATTCAAACAGGACCTGGAGCCACACTGTAACACCGCCTCGAGTGGCTGCTTGTCTCACAAAATAAGCCTTGTAAGTGGGTTCTCTGTCCATTACAGTCCAATCTATCCTGGGATTTTATTTCAAACAACCACTCAAGATGAATTACAGAGCAGGAGAGAATTATCTGGGCAGAAATGAGACAGGCAGCAGAAGACGACTGAACCTCTGCCCTACGACTACTGCTGCTTATCCTGCGTCCACATAAACACTTTCCTCTACTGAGCATGAGAACAGGCGGAAGGTATTTATTTAAAATAAATATCATAAACAAAGTGATGTCTTTTTTTAGAGTGGGATACCTAAGTGTCTTTCAGACAATGTCTGGTTTGGCCAAGCTCAGTATGCAATAGAACATCACAAAGTGTGTGTGTGTGTGTGTGTGCACTTATCAGACATTCTGTATAGCAACAGCAGCCGTGTCGCCGTAAGGAGGGTAAAACAAAAACAGAAAAAACACTATTTTTGTCAAAAGTCTTGTTTAAATTACCATCAGGTCAAAGAGATATATTCTGGTGGTCCACTCAGAGAGATAAGTACACGTGTGCGTGTGTGTGTGTATGGAGTGAAAGCCAATATTAACAAGTCGTAACCTTGTCTGTGGCTGAAGGTTCCAGCAGATAGAGAGAGAATGTTGTTGTATATGAAGCAGTGATGTGAGAGCAGAGGTTCATCTGGACCTTCCGTCCAGCCTTCAAACACAGCTTCTCTGTGGGACAACACTTTGATGAAGACATCAGACCTAGACTGGACTCACCTGATACAGGAAGTCCTCAAAGACAAAATAGTAGTCGTCATTACTGGCTGTGAGCTTCACATCCTGGAGGACATGGACAGAGACATGTCATGAAGCTGCCACAGGTTCATTCATTACATCATGATCTGCTGAGTTACAGACTGTTTGTGTGAAACAATGTACTCTGATCAGTTTAACATTTAAGCTGGTTTTTCAATGATGTTCAGCTATTGTTTAAATGACTAAAAACTAACATATTTTAGCCTTTTTTGGCCAACATATGCATTTCAATTTGCATGTTTTCTTTATTTGAGGAAACATGCACTGATGTGTAATTATATTTTTACTTTGTTGAATAACAGTAGTACTTTTGTAGGAACTGTATTGTTTTAAATGTTCAGTGAAGTTTACTTACTCTATACCTACATTTTTGGGTTTCATTAATTACTTGTATATGCACGTATGTACGTATGTGTCAGATAAATGGCACACATATTGTATATTGTAATATCTTTGACCATTATTTATATCAAACCAATTTTAGCATCATTTTTCATCCAAGTTACCAACGTAAAGCTTTTGCTTTTCATTTAGCTATTAAATGAATAGTTTTATATTATCATAAAGCTTTTGTGTATTTCTTACCTTTACTTATACATGAACTTTTTATGCATGTCAGGCTAGTTTTGGCTAACTATTAGACATTTATTGCTCTGTATTTTGTACAAATATTGCCATTTTGAAACCAACCTTACAGATTATTATAGAATATTAATATGGTTGGTTTATATTAGAAATGAATTGATACAATTTTATTGTTTATTATAAAGACTGTAATATTTACATTTATTTATTTTAGCTATTTTAGCATTTATTTATTTTAGCTAATCTTTACCTAGCTTTGGACAAACACCTGTTGTGTGTAGATTTGTTGAACTCTCTCAGAAACAGAACTAAAACGTTTATGTCCCGTGGAGTAAATGTTTCAGTGAGGAGATGTCACCATCACACACACACACGCACACACACACATACACACACACACACACACACACACACACACACACACTGTTCCTGTAACATCCTCCCTGTGCAGTTAGACTAACAGTGATACCTTGTAGATAAGGTTGTCCACCAGCAGGTCATGTTGTATGACTCCAGTCTTCAGCTGTTCATAATGCATCACATCCTGTAGAAGGCACAAAGATCAAAAGCTGAAGAAAAAATTGAACATTTATTTTATAAAAAAAAATCATCTCCTCTGAGGGACTTTTTACGTCAGCATTTACATGACAGATGTAACAACAGGAATAAACCCATCTGAAGAGAAGACGACTGTGTTTCCACCCACTTGGTCTAACTCAAATGCAGATCCGCCGTTTGACAGTTGATCGTAAATGAAATGAGGAACAGACCATAAAGTGAGAAGAAGAAGCAGCTGGAAAGTGATCAGAGCTGAACAGAGACACACACTAAAGACGCTACGTCTTTAGTGTGTGTCTTAGGGTCAGGGGAACATTTAGGGTTAGGTTGACCTCAGGTCAAGGTGGTTGACTTTGAATCTGGACTCTGGTTCACTGGTACAGTCTAGCTGCTGCTCCTGTGTATCTGCTGGTAATCTATGCATCATCTATGGAGAACTGACAAAGTACAACACATGTGTGGTCATCAGCCAGCTCTAACTTTTTAATGTGTTTGCCCTCATGTTACCCAGAGGCAGACTGACAGTCTCCAGACCTCAGCCGACGAGCCCTCCAGCCAACCAACAAAGTGTTGGTTCAGGGACCTGAACAGGACACTGTGAACATGTCAGTGTGTTTCTGACAAACACTGTTGGCTACAGCTTTGCTGCGGTGTAGTGTGTTATTGTGTGTGTGTGTGTGTGTGTGTGGTCTCTGATACCGGTGGCTGGTTGGTGGAGTTCAGGATGAGGGCCCACAGGTCTGCTCTGAGTCCATTGGAGCAGCCTCGTCTGCTGTACTGCTGGGCTGCTGCGCTGTCCTGATCCTCAACCACTGGAGCAGGAGACAGAGAGAGACCATGATGACAGAGGAGAACACCTTCAACATTCTCATGTCAACATTCTCTCCCTAAGACCAACAGGTGGTCAGGTTTTCACCTGAAGATATTAGAAACTACGACTGTCAGAAATCAATGCATTATTGAATGAAAATGAATCAGATAAAACATATTAACCCATGGACAGAAGGATGTGTGCTGTATTCACAATAGTTCCACCAGAGCTGCCTGACTGAGGACTGGTCAGGACTGTAAACTGACTAATGTTGTTGAGGACAAGATGAGATCAGATTAAAGGCCACATCTGACCATGAACCTGGACAAAGAACTGTGGACTCTCCACAGAACTGAGTCAACCTAGAAACAACAACAACAGGTATAAATCAACACTAACCTAGAAACAACAACAACAACAGGTATAAATCAACACAACTCATTTGTTTGGACCTCAGTGTCGGCTCAGCAGTAAACACTGGGTCAACACTTGGTTCTGTCCCCGCAGAAGGGAATTATTTTACGTAAGAATAACACAGACATTCCTCTAATGACACATGTGACATAAGTTCACACGGTCGGACCCAGATCTTCTGAATCCAGACTGGAGCCTAAATCGCTGCAGTGACAGCAGCTGAAAACACACAGCTCTGGACTGAAGCCGCTGCTCACCACTAACATAAACCAACACACTGCTTCTGGATCGCAGCCTGGTGTTTGGTAGCTAACACGCAGCTGAGGGGATTTAGGCCCAGACAGTGGACTGGGCCTGATGTGTGTAGTACACACAGTCCGACTGGACGGGTGTGTGATGGGCTCTGTCCACGAAACTGTTTATTCTGCTTTGGCAGCACAGTCCAAGGTTCAGATCCCACTCTCTTATTTCTAATCATGTCAGGGTCTGAGCTACTGTGTTTGCAAAAGTGTTAGGCAGTGGGGTTCACCCCCCACCTCCCTCCATCTATACTACTTACATTTCTGAATGTAAGTCAAAAAATGTGAGACTAATTTATGAAGCACAAACAACAAGTGTAAGTCAAAAAATGTAAGACTAATTTATGAAGCACAAACAACAATCCTCACCTTTCTTTCCAACCAGGACGTATTGGTTCTCAAACAAGTCTGTGTGAGAGAGAGAAACAACACAGATTTGTTTTTATCTGACGTTCAGACTGTAAATACTGTACAAGTCTGTTCATAACAGAGTGACAAGTGTCAAGTCGCTACATCAATGATGGAACAACAAGCGTTTTGACAATCAGCCCTCAGTTTAATCATTAATGATTGTACAGGTTTCAGACCTGGATGAATGTGAGCGTTGTCATCAATCCCCAGCTGTCCTGTGGTCAAGTTCAGTTCTGTGAAAACCTGTCTCTGTCACACACACACACACACACACACACACAGAGATACAATAGATAAAGGTTACAGCTGTGTTTAGGTCACTAATACACTAATGAGTTTTTAAAAAGTTCTTATTTAAAACAAATGCTACCCAGCTCTTCTAAAATTCATCATAATTCAATTTAAAAACATTCTGTTTGGCCAAAAAAAAAAAAACTATATATAAAAGTCAGCCCAGGGTTTCCCACAGATTTTAGGAGACAGAGGGTTGGGGGGTGTTATCATTACTTTTTTTTTTTATGGTCAAATGCAGTGGCGTTTTCTTGCGGAGGCTTTGACAGAGCGTTTTCTGACGTGCAAAACAGCGCCCCTCCACATCTAACGTGGTGAATGAGCGTTGAAAACATGTTACTGCACTCCATTGTTGGCTCTTTTCAGCGTTAAAAAAAAAAAGTTACTGCACTCCATTGTTGGCTCTTTTTCAGAGGCTTTATTATTTCCACTCAGTAGTCTAAGTGTGGATGGGACTCTCCTGAGGACGGGCCTTACTAGTTGTGGGATGTCCCTGACGTTCAGGGGGGCCTGGATGAGACCCCAGTGACTCCTGGAGCTGACGTCCTCACTGCTGTCGTAGTTAGGGTTCCTCAAACCGACCAACACCTGCATTAGAAGAGGCAGTGAAACATAAAGTGGTTTATTTTTCTCCTCACAAATTACAAGGTGACGAATCGTGTTTGAGCTGACCTCGAGAAAGTCTTTGGGAGCGTAGACGGGCCTGAAGCTACTCAGATCTGCCGAGAGACCAAGACACGTCAGAGTCAAGGGATGCATTAACATTAGGTTGAGTAAGGTGTTCTATCATTTAGGGGGGGTGGATAGATTCGATTAAAATTAGATTAAATGAATAGATAGACAGATTCTCTGTCATGACACATGTAAGACAAGAAGGCAGAAAACAAAACCCAGGAGACACAGAACATAAACATGAAACACTGACGACTTTTATCATTTTCTTTCCTGACCAGTGGAACTTTTTATCTCCTGCTTGATGGGAGGAGGTTTAGTGAATGAATTGTTTAGGATTCCAGACGTTCAGTTCAGCACTGATAGAAATTCTTTCCATGTTTCTAACATAGAATCAGCCCATAATACAAATGAGTAAAGGTATCTTACAGTGAGTAAAAAAATACAGCAGCTCAAATGTAAAGATGTGGTCAGAATGTGCTGCTACTGAAGCACTAACATAGAATACAGTACAAGTGAAGAGTTAGCCTGGATGGTAGCTACAATATTAGCCACTTTGTAGCAGTAGTTCTCTGACCTCACACACACACACACACACAGTGTTGTTAAGTGTCTAATTTAGGCTCAGTCTCTTCAGCTGATCACCATCAGTTCTCCACATCATTGACCTTAGATGAACCTGCCTGCAACAGTTAGCTTCAGTTTACTGTTAGCTGCCTTGTTAGAAGATGAGCTGAGGCCGACTCTATCTGGGCTGGGCTTTTCCATCTGCTGTCTGTAGTAAAACCAGGCAGCGTGCTGTGGTCCAGTTCGGTTTGTGCTGGTATCTGGGTCCAGAGGAGTCTGGAGAACCTCTCTGTCCACACAGTGTTTACAGCCAGCAGACAACAAACTGCTGTAACGGTTATGAAACGCTGCTGCTGTGTGATAGAAGCACTAACACATGAACACAGGGTGGTCTGTGACCTGAGGGCAGTCTGTGGTTGGTCTGCACACAGACTAATTTCTCCTCATTATTGTAAAGTACACACACAAGCACACAAACACCTGTAAAACACTATTTCTTCCTAAGGTTAACAAAGGCTTGTGGGTATTGAGTCCAGACCTGGTTCATCTGTTCCCATCTCATTCCACTTGTTCCTCAGCTCCTTCTGCTCCTCTGCTCCTCTCTGTGAGGG